GCCTGATCCCCTGGTTGTCCTGCTCGTGCTGTGTGAGTGCACTCAAGATGAACAACTCCACAGCCTTTTCCAGTACCCAGGTTAGGCTGACAGGCCTGCAGTTCTCCGGATCCTCTTTCCAGCCCTTCTTGTAAACAGGTGTCACATTGCCAAGCCCCCATCGCCTGGGATCTCCCCAGTTAACCAGGACTGCTGACATGGAGAGTGGTTTGGCAGCTCTTCCACCAGCTCCCTCAGTACTCTCGGGTGGATCCTATCCAGCCCCATAGAATTGTGAGTGTAGGTCATTAACTGCACCCTCCTGGATTATGGGGGTTTATTCTGCTCTCTGTCGCCATCTTCCAGCCCAGGGGGCTGAATACCTTAAGGACAGCTGGTCTGACTAATAAAGACTGAGATAAATGTGGCATTAAGTACCTCAGCCTTTTCCTCATCCTTGGTGGCAATGTTTCCCTCCCCCAATCCAATAAAGGATGGAGATTCTCCTTGGCTCTCTTTCTGTTGTTAATGTATTTGTAAAAACTTTTTGTATTATCTCTTACGACACTGGCCAGATTAAGTTCTAGCTGAGCGTTTGCCTTTCCAATTTTCCCTCTACATGATCTAACAAGATCCCTGTACTCTTCTTGTGGTGCCTGCCCTTTCTTCCAAAAGTGGTATACTTTTTTTTCACCCCCTCCTGAGTTCCAGCAAAAGCTCCACTTTTGGTTCTGGACAGCTTCTTGACTGCTGGAGCTTCTGGACCGCTTCTTGGTTCCAGAGCAGGTTCTAGGTCACCTCTTGGTTCTAGACAAGTAAAGGACAGAAAAGACCCCACACTAAAGGTCTAGCAATAACCTGAAAATCACGGCTCAGCCTAGCAGCCTGCCCTCTGCGGTGAGCTCTGTTCTTACAGGTTTTCAGAAGCCTGTTGATGGCCCAATGGCCCTCTCTGTGACCCTCCCTCATATATTGCTAGGGAGCCACATACTGCAATTAACATAGTCCCTGTCAATGCTCCTCTGACACAAGCATGAAGTATGAAGAAATAAGGTTGGACTCGAAGATGTTCAAGGTCTTTTCTAACCAAAACCATTCTATGATTCTAAGGTCTTGTGGAAATTCTAAAGCTCTAAAGTGCACCATGAGCTTCCCAGCCCACATTATAACTACCAAAGAAAACAAAAACCTGGAAAAAACTCCATTTCTAATTCCTTGATAGGTCCATTGGTTCCCATTGAAAATAGATAAGGTATTACAGAAAGTGAGCAAACACCTGAATTACAGATTAGTGCAGGCCTAGGTAGCTCAGAGTTGTTTTACAGCACCAGACAAGACCAGAGCTCACCTCACCCACACCTCCAGCCTGGGGTGCCAGCAGTGGGTGCTGAGGGATGTCCACTGCCTCAGCTCACCCATCCCACCACCCTCACACCAGCGGCACACGAGGGGCATTCGGTGGCCCATGGCACACACAGCTGCTGGAGAAACACAGCCATGGCAAGAGATGGCTCTGGAGGAAACTTGAGGGGCACTGGCTCCTGTGCTGATGGGGCATCAGCTGAGGAGAAACAGTAGGAAAGGTCCAAAGTTGCCCAAACGACTCATTAATGCTGAAGGCTGCGGGCACAGCAAGGCAGCCCTAGGCACGGGTAACGGCTCCCGATGCAAGGAGCAGCAGCAGCTCACACCACGTTCCTGTGACTTCCACTGAAGTTTCCCAAAGCTCTGGGCTTCGGACTTGACCAAGTCCAGCAACACGACTCACCTGTATGGGCGTTTTGCTATTGCCTTTGTCAGCGCAAAGACATGCTCACCGAAATCCTGCCACGTGTCTAGGAACTGCACATCGATGTTACCCCACAGCTGCAGTACTGCCAGCGCCTGGAGAAGTGACAGAGGTGAAACACATCACATGCTGACCAGCGGGACAAAGCCAGGCTCAGGTGGGCCAGCCATGAGCCAGGAGAGACCAAAGCCCTCACAAACCCTCTCTGACCCTCAGCTGGTAGTGCTTGTGTCAGCCCTGGCTACCAAAGGCCACCCAGCGAGAGCAGCAAGGAAAGCACATGGGTAGGAAGTGTCCTTCAGATGGGCTGGGGCTGGAAGGGGAGGGAGGTCGGGCTGCCTGCATTAGCTCTGTTTACACAGCACTGCAGTAAAGCCTGATCATCCTTCTTAGCTCCCAGTAAGCCAGCAAGTCGTAACCCCCTTTGAGGCATACTCAGGCAGGGCAGGAATTTAGTTCAAGGATATCAAGTAAGGGTTTAGATGGTAGTCGACCTAGTTTATGACTGCTGTGGCATCACATGGAGCATTCCT